CTAGTCCTCTGTGGCTATGTCACTGACTCTGGGCCCAAGAGTCCCCAGGTCTTGCCACACTGCTGGCCAACCAGGTCTGCACCCAGGTTCACAGGAGTCTATTGAACGTTGTAGGGCTTAGCTCACAGCTTCATTGCTGGTTTTCCCTCACTTCCCCTTATCGGTGACGAACATGGTCACCATCCATTCTCTTTTAATTTGATTTTTCCATTAACTTTTTGAAGTCTCTTGTTTAAATACTACTTCCCGGAACTTTCTGCCAGGGCTGATATCAGCCCCAAGAACTTTGGAGGTCAGCATGGGACGTAGGGTTGAGGTTGAGACCTGTTACCAGCCTCAGAGATAACGCTATCCTCACATACCCTTCATATTTCCTTGCGACACAAACATGTCCTGTTCCTTCTGGCCTCTGGGTTCATGTTTATGCTTCTTCTACATAGTCATTTTGCCATAAGTCACATCAGCCTCCACTACAGTTCTTCTCTTATGAGAAGCCTGTTGGAATTTTCCCTGTTTCACTGGGAATCTTCCTTTTCTGAGCTCCAGCAGCACATGGGGACAGTGTTCTGTCAGTCATGCCCTGTCTCTGTCCTCTAAGAGCAGAAACCAGGGCCAGGCAGAGTGACCAGTTCATCTAGTTTGTCTTGTACTCTCTGGGTTGTAGAATTGCAAGTCCAGCATTGCTAGAAACTCTTTAGTCCTGGCTAATCAGGACAATTGAGCCCCTGCCTAACAGGTCATGTGGCAAACTTGTGAAAGTGGAGGAAGTTGGACAAGCAATGGATTCTTGTTTGAGGTGGGGTACACTTGGGTCCTCTCAAATTCCTTTTAACTCTAAACTCAGGAATCTGAGGGCAAATGAAACCCAGTCCAACTGCAGTAAGGTCATCCTAGCTAATTCCTCTTCATCCTAGTCATGAAACCAAGGCTGTGCCTGAGCTCAGATGAAGTCACTTGGAGCAGAGGTGGACCCGAGGGGCAGAGTGATGGGTTACCCCCCTGTGGGCCTCATTATAAGTGTCCTCAGCAAGGTGAACACCCACCACGTATGACCCAGCCCCATACCAAGTCAGAGGGAAGGGACGTGATGTGCTTCTGAATTTGATTTTATCTTGGACTATTTTCTAGCTCATGAGCTGTGCCAATTACAGAGCCTGAGTGCACCACAGACAAGTTTCTGGTCAGAACACCAAGAGAATACCGAGGTTTCACATATTCATTTTTGGGTACCTTAATAAATTACTCAAATCCAAGGGACCCTAGGCATGAGAGAAGCTTTGGTTTGATATATGTTCTGAGGTTTCTTGAAAAATAGTATAAAATAACATACACCTTTTGTGTACTTCAGAGGACAATGTTAGAGCCAGAATTTCAAATACCCAGCATTCAAAGAAATGGCTTTTCTCCCTCATTGACTTTGAAACCCACATTTATTTCAAATGCTCTGTAACAAGAGTTTGGAAGACAACTATCTGGCCAGCTGATTAGAAGAGATCCATATCTGTGCCCATTCCAAAGAGAGGTCCATATCTGTGCCCAACCCAACAGAATGCAGAAATCATCGGACAATCTCTTTGGTATCTCATGCAAGTAAAGTTTTGCTAAAGGTAATATAGAAACGGCTACAATCATACACTGACAGAGAACTTCCAGAGGTTCAAGCTGGATTCAGAAGAGGCTGTGGAACAAGTGATATAATTGTTGATGTCTGATGGATCTTGGCTGAAAGCAGAGAATATCAGAAAGATGTTTACCTGTGATTTATTGACTGTGCAAAGGCTTTAGATTGTGTGGATCATGACAAGCTATGGACAACATTGCGAAGCATAAGTATTCCGGAACACTTAATTGTGCTCATGAGGAATCTGTACCTGGACCAAGAGGCAGTTGTTTGAACAGAACATGGGAACACTGAATGTTTTAAAATTAAGAAAGGTGTGCAACGGGTTGTATTCTTTCATCATACTTATTCAACCTGTATGCTGAGCACATAATCCGAGACGCTGGGTCCTATGAAGAAAAACGTAGCATCAGAATTGGAGGAAGACTCATTAACAACCTGCAATATGCAGATGATACAACCTTGTATGCTGAAAGTGAAGAGGACTTAAAACATTTACTGATGAAGATTAAAGAACACAGCCTTCGGTATGGATTGTATCTCAATATAAAGAAAACAAAAATCCTCACCACTGGACCAATAAACAACATTCTTTTCAAAGGAGAAAACATTGAAGTTGTCAAGGACTTCATTCTTCTTGGATCAACTATCAACACTCACGGAAGCAGTCAAGAGATCAAACAACGTATTGCATTAGGCAAATCTGCTGCACAAGACCTTTTTAAAGTGTTGGAAAACAAAGATGTCAGCTTGAGGACTAAGGTATGCCTGACCCAAGCCATGGTGTTTTCAATAACCTCAGATGCATTCGAAAACTGGACAGTGAATAAAGAAGACTATAGAAGAATTGATGCCTTTGAGTTATAGTGTTGGAAGAGAATATTGAAAGTGCCATGGGCTGCCAAAAGAACCAATAGATCCGTTTTGGAAGAAGTGCAGCCAGAGTGCTCCTTAGAGGCCAAGATGGCCAAACTTCATCTCTCATACTTTAGACATATTGTCAGAAGGGACCAGTCGCTGGAGAAGGATATCATTTTTGCTAAGGTGGGGGGTCAGAGAAAAAGAGGAAGACCCCCAACGAGATAGATTAGCCAAGTGCCAGCATCGATGGACTCAAGCGTGGCAACAGTAGTGAGGCTGGCCCAGGATCAGGCAGTGTTTCGTTCTGCTGTGCATAAGGTCGCTATTGGGCGGTACTGACTCAATGGCACCTAACAACAACAACAGTAACAAGAGTTGGCAAACCATAGCCCAATGAACCAAGTCCAACCAATAAAAAATTTTTGGCAATTTAGGTCTATGGCTGTCTTTGTCATACAAAAGCACATGTTGTCACAGAGACTATATGGTCCACAAAGCTTAAACTATTTGGCCCTTTTAGAAAACATTTGCTAATTCTTTATGAAATGAGATCCCGTCTCACTCATCTTTAGATGCCCTGTTTTTTCCCTGGAGTAGTTCTGAGCTCAGAGCCTGGATTCAGGCTGAGAGGGGTCTAGCCCCTGTTAACTAAATGAACGTTATTCCCTGTTTTGTAGCTCCCACTCCACTCCCAGAGCCGAACTGAGCACTTATTAGCCACTCACCTGAAAGTTACAACTGTACAACCATTTAATATACTCAGAGCCCTCTCCATCTTCCACCAGCAATTGAAGCCATTTGACCCCCCCAAAGCCCTGTGATGTAAGCAGGGCAGCTATTATGACACCTGTTTTACAAAGTAAAGAAACTGAGGTATAAGGAATTATGTGCAAAAATAAATTCTAGGTCCTAGGACTTCTGGCTCTCTCCCATGTCTCTTTCTCTCCTCTTAGACTTCAGCCTCCAAGCTGCTACCAGCTTCACCCAATTCTGTCTCCAGGGAATCATAGCCAAGACTCTGATTGCTGTAATACTCTTATGCCAGCTCAGAGGACATAGAGGAACAGACTAGCAGTTCTCTTTAAAAAATCAAATAATAACCTCCCAAGGAAGTATATCCAAGTATCCACAGAGCTCAAAAATTCCAACTGAGTGTCAATCTGCCCTGCAAGGGCAATGACTGTCCAATCCCAGATTCACAGGTAGGGTGAGTCAGGTAGTGGCTCCCATGCCTTGGCTACTATGAATTAAATATCTACTGCAGTGCTTTGGAAAGAGCAATAAAGAAATATCAAGCTGAGACATCAAGCAAGGCTTCTTATGAGCAATATGATCTCTAAATCACCCCCTCTTTCTACATCTCAATTTTCCTAACTGAAAAAGAGGGTGCTAATGCCTACCTGACAGGACAGCAAAATGAGCCTTTGGGTGTGATACTATAAAGTTCTGTGCTTACATAAGGAGTTATTATTTCGATAATTGTCTAAACTAATAAAGGTAGACAGCAGCCTCTCATTCATGTCCCAAGAGTACAGGAAGGGAACCCATGTTTCCAGCCAGATTGCTCATGAGTCAGCATGAACAACAATAATTGGAGCTGCTGATGTTTAGAGATTTCATCCCCAAAAGTGGCATCATGGACTCACGTGTGGATTCCTGAGCTCTTCCATCACATAGTTGAGGCTATTCCAGCCATCAAAGGACCACAGGCCCTGGTAGAAGGCTATGCCAATGTGCCCCGCCTGCTGCGTTGTGTTGTCGAAGGCATGAAGAAAGACTTCTGTGTGGCCACGGCCCTCACCCAGCACCACAGCCCCACCTCCAATGATGACCAGCAATGAGAGTACTTTGGCCACTGTGCACACGTTCATCAGTATGATGGACAGTCTCGAGCTCCAACAGTTGACCAGCATCAGTAGCAAGATACCCATGGCAGCGACTCCCTTAACCACCACTTGGGGCTGTGAGGAACATCCCAGGTAAAAGGGGGCCACTGCATACTTAGCAAAGCTCAGAGAGACAGCAGCAATAGAAGCTGGTCTGCCAACCAGTACAAACATGTAGATGACCAGGAAGGCTGGCAAGGAGCCAAAGGTGTGCAGGATATAGGCATAATCTCCCCCAGATTCAGGAACCAGGGAACCCAGTTCAGCATAGCATAGGGCGCCCAGCATGGCCAGGAGACCACAGACTGCCCAGACTATAAGACTGGCCCCAGGGCTGCCCATGTTGACCAACACCCCCTGTGGTGACATGAAGATGCCAGAACCGATCATAGAGCCAGCCATCAGGGACACAGCACTCCACAGCCCAATCTCCCTCCTTAGCTTTAGCTTCCATGCCCCACTGCCTGGCTCTTGTTCTATCACCTCCTCACCACCATCTCTTCCCTTCCTTCTCTCCATCTCAGGGCTTCAATAGATGCTGCCTCTAGTTGAACAAAGGCAGGTACTGTGATACCTGATCATCTCTTGTGCTCTTTATAGCAGTTAATGATTACAGCAGCCCAAAGGACTCTGAGCCACAGGTCAAAGGGCTAGGACATTATGTGTAGAAGAGAATGAGCCTTCATGGATCTAAACTGTCTTACTTAGACCCCAGAACAGACAACTTGCAGAAGTTTGCTAAGTCAGCCCATGAAAGGTCAAGATAAAAGGCGTTATAATAGAAATCCCTATTGCCTACATTCAAGTCAATATGTGTGGGATAATAGATGACTGCTCATATTAACAGTATGTTGTTGTTGTTGTTGTTCTTGTCAAGTGCTGTTGAGTTGGTTCTGACTCATAGCAACCCTGTCTGTGGACCATCTGGTAGGTTTGAACTGCCTACCGTATGGTTTGCAGTCCAGTGGTGATCCTATCACGAGATAACATAGATCAGCATTCTTTGAACAGTTTTATCAGTCAAGCTACCACAAAGCAAGGATTCTAATATAGAATGACTGAAATTAAAACTGCATGAGGCCTATCCTAAAGAAGAACCAGGAAGATCCGAGGCTCCAAATAGGCCAGGACAGAACTTGGTCTCCTAGCAGAATCACTGGTTAAGAGTACAGGTTCTGGAATGAGACCACTTGAATCCCAACTCTAGTATCTCATAGTTGTGTGACATTGGACAAGATCTCTGAATCTTACCTTATTTATTGTCAATTAATAATAATACTCACCACATAGGGTTACCCTAAGAAGTGAATAAAATAACTAGTGTGGCTATAACAGAAATACCACAAGAGGTGGACTTTATAGGACAGGAATTTATTTCTTCACAGTTTGAGGGGCTAAAAGTTCAAATCAGCATCGTCATCATGTTGAGTCTTTCCTTCCCAAGCATTTCTTTGTGATCTCCATATGGTGTCTGTCTTCTCCTATGTGTGCCTCTGTTTAATCTGCTCTTTTTATAACTCAGTAGTGATAAAATTTAGAATCCACCCTACACTACTATGACTTCAACTGATAGACTGATTAGATTACTGCTGTGATTTGCTCTGCCCAAAGCCAACTGATTAAACCACGTGAGTGGATCATGACAGCATACATGCTGTGAGGAGACATGATTCAATCCATAAGACCATGTAAAGTGCTTAGAATAATTTATGACATATAGTAAGATTTCCATAAATGTTCATCAGTTACTCTCTGGCTAGGAGTCCTGGTATGGCACTCTAGGATAAGCACTAGAGTGCTAACCACAGGGTTAGTAGTTTAAAGCCATTAGTTGCTCCTTGAAAACCCTATGCAGGGTCTCTATGAGCCAGAACTGACTCAAGGCCACTTAACAACAACAATGTCTGGCTAAGAGTTCAACTAGGGAATAGGGACAGGAATTAATTCCCAAAGAAGATAAGACCAGAGAATTAAATATATTAACTCAATACTTTATTTCATTAATCTAAAATTAATATTATATTAATTATTTATAGATACATAAATTTCATATCTATAATGTACAGATCTTTAAGTAACATTTCTTTAAGTAAATTTTCATTGATCTTTCTTTATATTTATAAACTCCTGAATTATAGAATCTTTACTAGCATTGTTTTAGAAAGGTCGGTAGAACTAATTGGCAATTAGAGTAAAGCAGCAGGCACCAAAAGTGGGCTACAAGGCCTTGCAGTCTCCAAAACAGTGTTTCCTAGCTCAAGTCAGCCAGAAAAGCCACTTATATTTCATGTACATATATAATTATAAAGCTTTTAGCAGATGCAAAGGTCTCTGCTGTAGTGTCCATCTCTACCTCCTGTCCATTGCTACACTGAAGTCTACTTGTCATATATCCTCAGAAAATGTGGAGCCATCTTCCTCAGAAAATCTCTGGAGGAAAAGCCCTTCAAGATTCAAAAGAGGACTCTCTAAGATTCCTATTCAGTAAGAAAATATAGAAAGCAAAGAATTAGACCCAGAAAAAGTAGATAAAAGAATTGAAAGGAAGAAGAAGATAAGAAAGGAGAGAATTTTAGAGGATCAGGAAAGATAATCAGCTGCCTTCCTCAGAGCAACTCTTAGTCATGTGTAACCTGCTAATCTGTAACTAAGAAGCACTGTGATTATAACCAAAGGCCCATGGTTTGAATCCATCAGATGCTCTGTGGGAGAAAGACTTGCTGATACACTCCTGCAAAAACTGCAGCCTTGGAAATGCTATGCTATTGTTGTTAAGTGCCGTAGAGTCAGTTCCAACTCATAGCGACACTGTCTAGGATTTCTGAGGAGCAGCTGGTGAGCTCAAACTGCTGACTTTGTGATTCAAGTACATTAATCCACAGTGCCACCCCAGGATTCCTGGATATGCTGTGGGGCAGTTCAATTCTACCTTCTCCCATAGGGTAGCTATGAGTTGGAATTTGACTTGAAGGCAATGAAAAATATGGAACTATTGTTTTTGCTAAGTGCTGTCGAGTCATAGTGACACTATGTCAAACAAAATGAAACTCTGCTCAGCACCATCCTCACAATAGTCCTTGTTTGAGCCCATTGTTGAAGCTACTGTATCAATCCATCTTGTTGAGGGTCTTCTTCTTTTTTGTTTAAATTCTAGTTTATCAAGTGTGATGTCCTTCTCCACGGGCTGGTTCTTCCTGCTGAGATGTCCAAGGCACATGAGGTAAAGTCTTGCTATTTTCATGTCTAAGGAACAGCCTGGCTATACTTCTTCCAACATAAGATTTGTTTGTTCTAGCAGTCCATGGTAAATTCAACATTCTTCACAAACCATAATTCAAAGGCATCAATCCTTCTTTGGTCTTCTTTAGTCACTGTCTAGCTTTTGCATACATATGCAACAATTGAAAATATCATGACTTGGGTCAGGCACACCTTAGTCTTCAAGTGATATCTTTGCTTTTTAGTACTGGTAATATGATTTTCAACCCTCTTCTCTGGAGATTGCTGCTGATGGACATTGTGAGTTAGCCAACTATAAAGCTAGGGAATAGTTTACAAAATTCCCCTTACTTCTAACTTCAATTGCAAGTACTGGTGTCCCTAACACCATCTCAATGTCAATAATATGCGAAAAGGACTCACAGAGCTCATTGAAAGTTGTCATATTCATAACAGTTTATTATCACTAAAGGCGCCAGATTAAAATTAGCCAAGGATATAATCCTCATACTAAAACCATGGAAGGACATCACTAAAGTGAAAATCATATACCAATATCCATCCTGAACATACATGCAAAAATTCTCAACCAAATTCTAGTCAATAAAATTCAACAACATATTCTTAAAAATAAGACATCAAAGTAGAAGGAGAGGAAGCAAGGGAAGTCAGGAAAGTCTCTTCAGTGGAAGTGTGGAAAAGTCAGAAAAAAAAAAAAAAACGCTTTGCTGGGACAATCCTGGAACTTTAAATTCAATATAAAGTAAAGGGAAATAGTTTAGGGGAGTAGTTACGAATCGGGCTGCAAACCTCGGGTCAGCATTTCGAAACTACCAGCTGTTCCACGGGAGAAAGATGAGGCTTTCTGCTCCCGTAAAGATGTACAGCCTTGGAAACCCTGTACAGGGTCGCTATGAGTCGGAACCGACTCCACGGCACATAACACAGCATCAACAACCAGTGGAGAATCAATTAGGACTCTGCCTCCCACCCACAGTCTTGGCAGAGATCAGAGAGTGGGGCCACAGCCAGCAGCTAGGGAGCAAAAGCCACCCAGCGACTTATGGAAAAAGAAGTGCTATTATTTTTTTTTCTTCTTTCACTATTTTTCCTTCAACTGCTGTGCTCTGCCCTGCCACACCCTCTCTGCCCAGCCTGGGTGTCTTCATGCAGGTGGGAGCACACCCCTAAAAGGGTCTCGTGTTACACACACAGTGCACCATTTCCCCATGGCACAAAGAAATAACTGAAAGTCCCAGATGAAAGTCCAGAGGCTAATCCTCCGGCGGGTTCTTAGGACATCTGACTGGGATTTAGCCCAGAAGTTGGCTCTCTTACTTGGACAGGAGCTTTTATTCCTGCCATTTCTAACAAGGCACAGCAAGTCTGGCCATACAGCCAAACTGTATTTGCACCCTATAAAACCCCAACATAAAAAACAAGAGCCAACACCAACTATACGCAAGATCAATGTGTAAACCCAACACCTGTTAAAAACACATTAAAGGGAGAAGGATGCTGTGGATATGGAGATACTCAACCGATCATCAGAGAAAAAAGTATGAACAATCTTTTCTTCCACTCGTTTCTCATTCTCTGTCAGTGCACCTTCATGATAATGACTAGAAGAAGTGCCTGTGTGAGTAGACACCCCCACACACTCCTGAAGATTTCTGCTGCACACGCACACTGATCTACTCAGCAAAGACTACTGG